AGGAGCCAACTTTATCTTGTCATTTCTTCTATTAGAATTAGGATATCAAACTTTCGCTCTTCAGCTAATTATCAAGGTTTGTCTTCATCTTGGTTTTTCTTTTAACCTTTTTGTTTGCTTGTTTCTCCCTCTTACAGCACAGATACTCCAAGGATTGACAAGACCACATAATTTAGTAAAGTATCCCTCATGATTACCATTCTTTCGGGGATGATGCCTATATAGAGATCATCCAACTTACACATCCTCGCGGGACAAGGTCACCTAATTTGGTGAAGTATCCCTCATGGTTACCATCCTTTCGAGAATGACGCCTATATAGGGATATCATCCGACTCACGCATCCTTGCGAGACAAGGCCACCTAATTTAGTGAACTATCCCTCACGGTTAGTAGCAGATCCATAAATTTTTTTCGGGGGGCCTTATATAAAATTCAGTAAATATGTCCCACGATGTTAGTCTCGAATATTACAAGTATAGATTGTAGATCCAAAATTTTATGTTAGGAGATTGTATAAAAATAATTGGCACGCATTGAGATATTTATTTAGTTTATATATTTTTATACTATATTGTTGAAGTGACAAATTTTCCTTAAATTTTCAATACTATGTTTAATTAATAAGTCTCTAGAGATTAAAAAAATTATATATCAATAAGTTCTTTAATTAATATATTATTTAACTCATAGACAAAGTAGTACAACCTATAACAAATTTTTTTGTCATTAGAACATATTTTCTAAAAAAAAAACCAAAAGATAGTAGTTTGAATAATAAATTCTTGAATTTAAAGAAGAATCTAATAGATTAGTATCTATCAAGCATGAAATTGAAAATTTGATAACCTATTAGATGCAAAATTGGAAAGTCTTGAGATCTATTTGATATTTTTTTAAGTTCAAGTGTTCCTTACACACAACTCTTAATTAAACTTATAATTTATATAATTAAATTTGTTCAATAAGATAGCAAATAAGATTTTATATGTAAAAATAGAAGAAATAAGATGAAATTTGAAATAACATACCAAAATTTAAGGATTATATAATTTTTTATGCAACCAATTATTTGAAAATAAATTACTGAAATAAAAAATATTTTTTACATAATTTATATTTGATTTCACAGTAAGAAAAAAATCAAATATAAAAAAATAAAAGATTTATAACATATATTTTTCTTAAATAAAATTTGTTTTCTAAAATTAAAAACAAAACAATTATAAATAAAAGAGAAAAAAGAAAATCATAATTCTGACTTCCATGACTATTAAACTCAACCATACTTTTTCTTAAATAATTTTTTCCTTAAATAAACAACCATTAAGAAAACCTACAGTATTTTACTTAAATAAAGGTGTTTTAAAAAAATTTCTATCATAGTGTAGGCTGAGATTCGAACTCGGGGTGGGGGGGCTTAAGCAACCAAAAAAGTACCTAGACCACTGAGCCATCAACTAAATTTATGTCAAAGTTTGCACAGTTATTATACTTAGTCAATAGTTTACAGTTGAAGGGGGGCTCGAGCTCTCTCTGGGCCCAACGTAGATCCGCCCCTGCTCACGGTTGCCATCCTTTCGAGGATGACGCCTATATAGGGATATCATCCGACTTACGCATCTTTACATAATAAGGCCACTTAATTTGGTAAAGTATCCCCCACAGTTACCATCCTTTCGAGGATAACACCTATATAGGGATAACATCCGACTTACGTAGCCTCGCGGGACAAGACCACCTAATTTGGTGAAGTACCCCCACAATTACCATCCTTTCGTTGATGACGCCTATATGAGGGTATTATCCAAGCGGCTATAATTTCTTCACCAATGATCAAGCAGCTGCAATCTTTTTGCCAAGCTGCAACTTTTTTTCTAACGATCATGCAGCTACAGTTTCTTTCCCAATGATCAAGCCTTCTTCACTAACGATCAAGCAGCTGCAATTTTTTTTCGCCAAGCTGCAACTTCTTTGCTAACGTTCATGCGGCTACAGCTTCTTCCCCAACGATTAAGCCTTCTTTCCCAATGATCAAACGACTGTAACTTATTTGCCAACGATCATATGAAGATCCAGTTTGGAGGACGACACCTATCATGGGGAACAAAACCTAATTTGATGGTTAATGCCCCCAGTGA